CGGGGCGGACGGGGGTGGGGGGAATCAATAGCAACATAAAACTGATTTAGTGGGTGTCATAAAACATAAGTAAGTGCTGTGAGATGGAGAAAACCAGGGTCTCAATTTAATCTGGACAAGAGCTCCACTGTACAGATGAAGTTATGTCGAGAGAAGAAGAGATAGAAACGGGATGGGGGGAGTAGGGCGGAGGATAAAGGAGAAGCAGAGGGGGAGGAGGAGGAGAGCAGCCCACAAGATAGGGGAGAGAAAGATGCAATAAAATCTAAAAGACAGACACTTAATTGTCATATTAAAGACTCTCTGCAGTGCTTGGCTGAGTGGAAGGTTAGCTCCCATTCATCATCTGGCTAACAGCCACTTGAATGAAATCACAATTAAAATCTGCTCAATATTGTCCCTGAGATGTTTTTGCGAGCATTAATTTTTTTTTCCCCATTGATTCTCCGCCCGCCATAAATCAGAAATGTTGCGGCGCATGTAATGGTTTTTATAGAGAAAGGATTATGGCGTTATGAAGCTAATGTAGCAGAACTGGCTCATTTACACACACAGCCCTCCCAGACCGCTTTTACAGGGGGACAGAGTTATTACGCCCCGCGCGCAGACTAAACAACAAACACAACTCACTGACATTGTTTAAAAGATTCATGTACTGTAGTCGTTTATGATCATAACGCTTATGCCGAGGGATGATGTTTTTTCAGATGCGTGCCAGCAGCCAGAGACAAACGCGCAAAGAGGCACAATTCACCCAAATGAAAACATGCCATAAAACATAACAGCTGCCTTGTGTTCTGCCTTAATGTTTCTTTTAATTTTGGTATTAATATTAGTTCTCACTGACAAAGAAAACAGAACATTTTCTCAGCTTGAATGCAGGTAGTACTCAAAAATGTAAATATTGCCAATCCTCCTTGTTTTCTGCTAAAGTTGGCAGGCGGTGGGTCTCTCTCTTTCCAAGACAACTAACTTTTATTTTGTGGCATTTATTGCTGCACCAAGAAAATTCAGTTGTAAAATGACCAAAGTACGAAACACCTGAAGAGTGGGAAACACTAAATTCCAGCTCCAAGGTACCAAAATGACCAAATATGCCTCCTTGGGAAATGGTTTTATTATAAACAGCTTTCCTTAGATTTTATCTTCCTCTGAAATGTTTTTAAAATATCCTGACAACTCCTGGGTGGCTTTGGGTGTTCTTTCAAAAGCAACAAGTTACACTCATGTTACAGTTAGCCTGACCTGTTAGCGGTTAGCCGTTGCTGATCTCATCATATTTCTGGGTTTGTGACTGATGGCTCACAGCTCAGAACTAATAAAGCTGATAATCAATCTATTCCAGTCACAAGCAAGTTTGTCAATATGCCTTTAATTAAAAGAAGTGGTGGGACTTGATAAATAAAATAAAATAAAATAAAAGTGGTAACACTTTATTTGAAGGGTTGTCCATAAGACTGACATGATACTCATAAAGATGACATGAAACATCATGAACAGGAATGACTCTATAAATGTCTATGGCTGTGTCACAGTGTCGTTCAGGAAATAATGAAACTTTTAATGCAAAAGTACACTAAAAGTTGCATTAAAAGTTAATAAAAAATTTCAACTTAGCATTTTTCAGTAAATAGTGAAAGGATAATAAAATAAATATAACATAATAAAAGGATAATGCAAAATTCCATTAAAACTTGGATCAAAAGTCAATTAAAAGTATCAACTTTTAATACAAAGTGTCATTATTTACCAAACACTTCATGACCGTCACAAGCATTCATGAAGACTCCTCCATGTCCATGACAGCCTCCTGATAACCTCATGCACACGCCTTCAAATAAAGTGTTACCGCAAACGGTAATTGCAGATTCTGTGATTAATTAATTGCATTGTAATCAAAATCCACATAACAAAATGGGCAAAATTTTCAGTTCCAAACCTTTTAATGCTGCAACAATACAGATATTAATTGCTTTTAATCCTTTTCTTTAGGTTATTCGACCGTAATATTGGTGCTGATATAAGCTTTCAAGTGTTTCAGGAACCCCGTATTCATTTCACTTCTCTGGTAAAATATTTCTTTTGAAATGTGGCTGCCGATGTTAGCGTTGGGGACATCTTTCTCCAGTTGTCATTAAGCCACTAGTATCTTTATTGTGAACATACAATGTCTATAACTGTGATCAAATGATTTAATTCTAAAGCAAGAAATGGGTGACTAAAATACATATATGACTAGACTAGTCAGCTTGTGTCTTGTGCTCTGGTGAGACTTCTCAGAAGGCTGTGGCCCAGAAGCCAAAGTATCCCAGCTCTGACTGTCACACTTCAATCTGAGCATGTGCGAAAGGGGAACCCGGTACCCAAGCATCAAATCATCATCACATAAACTGGCCCTGACAGCAGCTAAAAAGGGTGATGGATCATGTGGGTTTGTTGTGCTGAGGAAGTTTGTCCCTTGATAGGACCCCTAACTCAAACCTAGTCCACCCCCCTCCTCTTTCCATTGCCACCAGACATCCCTAAACAGCACCGACTCTTACACACAAACGCAGAGACACACACACAGGTAATTTTCTCGCATCTGGGTCAGCAGCACAACAAGGCCAAATCATAGCAAGAGCCTCTTGCTCCTGCCAAGCGTTTGCCTTTTCACATAATGGGTAAACTGTTGTACGTACAATAAAAATGGAGATAATGTTTACAAGCAGAAGGACAACCTTCTCCTGGAATTTCAATATGAAGATGAAAAGCTGTAAGTCTGGGTGACAGCTCTCACAGCTGCCGGTGACTACATGTAAAAATGATGAAATGTGCATGAGTGCCGTGGCCGGCGTCGTTCCCTCTACATGCTTCTGACGGAGGCTGGTGACATGGTAAGGACACGACAAGCACACGCATGACAGCTTTACCATGCGCATAAAATACCTGCATAGGGAGAGGAACAGAGTTATACTTTTTTATGTTCTCAATTCTTAAGAAAACGGCATCTAAAGCTTGTAGGGGGTGGCAGACAAACGCAATATAATATTTATGAAAAAGGCCTCCATTAAGGTTTAGGTGTTTCTGCAAAGATTTTTTTGTTATTTTGGCTCATTGTCCACACAGATCTGATGTTTCGAGAGGCCATAAATGATTGTTTGCCAGAGTGAACAAATTTCAAAATGTTGCTTTCTTGTGTACGTGCAAGCCGTGTCTTTTTCGTTTTTCTTTAAACAATGACGTAACTCCATCTCTCTTTTTAACCAGCATGCACCTCACTCTCACAAATAAGCACAGTGCTGTTCTGTGTTGTTCAGAACAACACATCTATTTATTTCGAATTCATACAAGATTAGACACAGGTAGTCTACAGTCTTCAAGTGTATGAATCGAGTGTATGAATCAAGAAATCAAGAAATCAAAACTAAAAACTTGTATAAAAGTTGTCTGGTGAAACGTTTTTTTGACCCATTTAGTTGGGTTGGAGAAAAGGAACCTCATAATTCTTCCCAAAACACCATTTTGAATTAAACAAGGACCTGATTCAGCTTCACTGCACCACTTTTACAGGACAAAATGAATATGATGGTTAAAAAATGCTTATGAATCTTTTTAATCTCAGTTGATGGTGTTAATCCCTTAAGCTTAAAGAATATATATGCTTATTTAACATAACTAAACCTGGGACAATAAAGGAATTGTTAGCCTATTTGCAGTTTACTTGCTAAATAGCTAGAACAGCTAGTGCTAACTACATGCAACATTCACACAAGCAGCAGTCATATAAAGTCAATGTGGGAAGATAAACTTATATCCAGAGTAGAAATAGTTATTCCTCAATAAAACTTGTGTTTGATGCTATGAAGTTTTTTTTTTTCTTTTCCCAAAATGATTAGCACAACATGGAGCAATTAAATGAAAAATACTGATCTTCCAGTAAATAGCTGCACAGATATAAGAACTGCTGCCACACAGTAGAGGATGTGTCTGCTTGACTTGACAGTGTATTTTTGTGTTTCTTTGTGATGTTCTGGCAATTTGTCCAGGGTCCGTCCCATTTCTCTTCCATCATCTAGAGATCGGCACCAGCAACAGATGTAGAAATGTACCGACTGATGGCTCCCATTTCTCTTAATCAGCCATTTCAGTTTTTTATGGATAATATTAATATTATCAAATGTTGATGAGAAAATTCTACACTGAGCAGAGACTTTTAAACCCTTTAACTTCTTGGTTTTGTTCAGAAACCGTACGCCAGTGGAGTTTTAACATTCAAAAACTCAAAGCGTAACAATGAAAGAAGAATTACTTCTTGCCATAGGTAAAAAAAAAAGGGTGACACTGACAGAGGAGGCTATGCAGATATTTGTCTGTGTGTTTTACCCAAGCGTCAAACATTACAAGCAATGCAAAAAAAAAAGTCCCTATTGTAAACAATAGGAACAAATCATTTGATAAAACCTAAGCATTATCTTTATATCACCGTGAATAATGCTTTTTGAGTGACAAATGGCGACTCGAAACAGATTAGGGCCTTACTGTGTCTTTGGGGAGAAACATGATAGGAGCAAAACAAATGCATTCGAAAACAGGTTGTTGTAATTCAATCTTTAGTTTAGATCTCCGCGGCGAAGTCGAGGCCTCCACTGTCAGCCGCCGCCTGCCACAGAGCGCCACGTCTTCCTGATAAATTCTCAAGGCAGTCTGCAAAACGCTCCCATAACCAGTGACACGAGATGATTTCCCGCCTCTGACAAGCCTCGGTATTGAGTATGATAACACTTACTTTGTCTTCATCCTTGGCTGGAGTATAATATCAATTCGTTTGATGATCCAGCAAAGCGAGTCGAGCACTTGCGTATCAATCTTCATACATCGCTGCCTGGTGTCTAACAAAAAGCCCAGAATGGGATCATTCAATCACCCCTCCGCTGCGCTGCGTTCACATTGCTCGGCTCTCTTGCAGCTCAAGTGTCTCCTGCCCTGTCAGCATTTGGTCTATTTCTCATCTGCTTCTTTTTCCTATCCGTTTCTTTCACTTGTTGGGGATAAAGACACAAATTACGGATGATCATATCACTGCGTGTTTGTCATAGCTAAACTTCACGTGTTTTATTGGTCCGCACGGCCTCTTCTCATCTTTTGATTCCCTCCTAATGCGTTTTTTTTTTTCTAAACTTTTTTTTATGCCATAATAAATTTAAAGATGAAATCACCTCTAGGTACATTTTTACCATTTTTTCCAGATATAAAATTATGTATCTTTCTTTCAATTAATGTCAGGATTTTCTTTTTGGACCTCAAGTAAAAGGTCCGCCATTGGCGGATCTAGCATGGATGGTGCCTTGGGAAAACCCCTTCTTCTGTTAATCATTTTTTGTTAAGGTGCTCCTTTTTTAATGCTGCCCTGGGCAACTGCCCAAATGACCCATATAAAAATAAAAATAAAAAAACTGCCTCAAACTTCCCCCTGGTTAGTAGATAGGTTGCATACAGTATTGCTGAGTTATACACAGACAGACGGGAGGCTAAATGTTTGCTGACTAGGTGTTAGCCTTCAACATAATGTATCCGATACCAACTCACTACAAATGACTTCTTTCTACTAACACCATGTGAAAAAATCTGAATCGCATTTTGTTAGATGTTAGCTCTACACTTAGAAGATTCTGTTTCTTTCATCGTGTTAGTTTAAGGCAAATAGCAAGTTAAAAAAAGAACCTTAATTAACTGCTACATAGTTAGCACAGGTTCCCGATGACATTTAGTGGACGTGAAAGCAGCTGTCGACCCAAAATGCCATCGGTTGATGTTAATATGGAGAAGCAGAAGGAATGTATTGTAGGCAAGATTATTACCAGCAAAGACCAACCTGAAACCATGAACTGATGATTCTTTTCGTGGAATTAAATAGTTTAAGGAAACAAAATTCATCAACTCTGGTTAATTTGTCAACTCTTTGCATGTTTGTTAAAAATACAGGTATTACCCTTCGTCCAATCGCAAGGAAATGAAAGGAATCTTCTGAAATATCGATATCAAATATCAGTTTTCACATCAGTTTTGATGTGTTGTAGTTCTGAAGAATGAATGCCGAAAACATTTCTATATTTAAGCACCTTGATTCGGGTACATTATTTTATAGTCTGGCATATTCAGGAGAGTGTTTCTACCACCAACTGGACTCTCACTGGGTAGATGGAGTTAGTGTCTAACATTGCGTCTTATAGTGTGACAACAAATTCAACGCACTGGTATGTCTCTTGCTTGTTTTTTCTGTCTCCCGTTCGATTGACGGTACGGTGTGACACCAGTAGATCCACCCTAACTGAACCAAAACATAAGGACCTACAACTAAATGTGGTCCAGGAATTGTGCGGTATTGTAGGTTGTGTGTGTCTCTTTTTAAGTGGAAACAGATAAAAAAAGCATACTGAATCACACCGACCCGTGACGTACCACTCAGTGGAAATGAGACATTGTAAATCTAGAAAGTTTCAAAGCTCAAGTGCCCTCACATGGTCAGACAAAGGAATCCTAAAGTAGGTCAAGCCACCAGTTTCACTTTCAATTTTTAGCATCTAGCATGCCAAGATAAAGCCAGCATAGCTTAGCAAGAGTTCCAGTAATGCTATTGGGTAATTGCTACAATACTTCAGTTGCAGCCTTAGCGATTCTGTAGCAATGGCGCTAATGGTTGGAATACACTTTGTGAGCACAGTGGCACTCGCTCTGATAAAAATATTCAACATATTGACAATGTATGGCAACCTGACTTCAAAAAAAAGCTTTGTGTCTGCAGTTAAGTGGTGTCACAGCCTTAAGTAACGAAGTGTCAACGCTAATTCAGAATCTTCACCTACACTGTTCTTTGGGGTGGATTTGTGGTACAGAATTTCCTCTCACTAACCATCGGTGGCTACTTCCTGTTTGGCCGCCCATCTCCAACTGCTGTGTCTGTGGTTTGGTGCTCAGTGAAAACAACTACGAGGCGGTGCTCGCCCTTTGAAGAATGGCCCAATCAACAGACACTAAGCAATCAACTTTTTACTTGTCAGTTTTGATGTATCCAATCATAGCTCTGGGTTGTTTTTGCGATGTCTAATGTTCTGTGAAGATGGGCTTTTCATATGCTTTATTGTCGCGCCGTTTTTTGCCCCATCAAAACAAAAAAATGTGTTCACACTTTTGTGGAATAAAGCCCTCTGAGGGAGAGAAGCGTGGCGGGAGCGGGAGCGGGGTGCAGAAAACAATGAAATTTAACCCGTTTAAAACTGTATCATTTTCCGAGCGTACCTCAGGGCACTTGGGTGTTTATTGGCGGGACCAGGGAAGCAGAGGCCACTGGACTGGTAATTGTTTCCTCTAAATCTGCTGAGCTCTGAGGAACACCAGTTTTTCATCAGACAGAGGATGAGAGGGTAAAAGGACAACACAGACGGAGAAAAGCCTAAAAAAAAGAGGAAAAAAAAGGCTTTATTCCATGGTGTTGGTTTTTATCACTTCATCTCCCAAGTTAGTAAGATCGGTAGCCTTCCTCGTGACATAATTACAACCACAGCTTTTGTCAGCTGTGAATGGATGGAGCTTGCCTTGGTGCCATACTGCATGTAACATCTTTAAATTGACCAGCTGAAATGGGGGGGAGGAATTAATTTGAGGAGGTCTTTTGAATTTGATTGAAACCCAAAGAGAATAGAGGTGGTTTAAAAAAAAAAAAAAAACACACTTTTGAACTAACTTCATTTGACATTTTTATATTGAGTCACAGCTCAGAAACGGGCCTGATATCTCATTCAGCTGTAAAGTGATGGCCTCTCCTCACAGCCGCCGAAAGACATCTGAAAAGCAAAGTACTGCCACACTGCGCTCGGACCAATTTGTCTCCATCACTCTATTCATACAAACAGCGAATGATTTAGCTAAAACTGTGTAGATTCTTGCAGGGATTTCCCCCCCTCCCTTTCTCCCACCAACACCCCCTCCTTCACTTTATTTTCATTATGCTCACAACGATGCTGGAGGTTTCGACTCTGTGCGTGCATTTGGCTTTGAAAGTCTCAGATTTAGCGCGGTGGTATTGGCTCATTTTTCATATCCATTGTTGGCTTGTCAGGGTGTCATAGCTGTTCCACGGAGCTGTTAGATCAGTCCAAATGTATAAATCATCCAGGATCTGACACTCTCATTTAATTTGGGGAGGAGGGGGCCCTGCTGCGGCAGCGGGGCCTATTAATGAAAAATCCCTGCCCTGTTTGCTGAATGGGAACATTCAGCCCATTTTATTTTATTCTTCTTTTATTTATTTTTTTATTTTTTTTATCAACCTGGATATTCTGTATGATTTCCCACAGTAGGCCGTCAGCTGCCAGCTTGGCACTTAGTCATTTATCATCATATGTCATGTTTGTCAATCTACTCGGTTCTTTTACTCAATGAGCGCCGATAAAAATCACTTTGCATATTAAAAGAAAAGGCGGGCAAACTCGGAGGGCGCTAGGTGAGGTAAAACCTCTCATTTCCAGCGTGCGGTGGTGGTTCCAACCCCAGAGCCTGTGTTATTGTTTTCCATCTGTGAAATAAAGTAACAGGTACTTAATGTACCAAAAACAATTTGTACAGCAGTTCTTTTTCCCCACTGAAGGCGTGCATGGCTCGCTGAGGGCTCCCCTTATCTCAGCGAGGCTAATCCATTTTCACACCGCACTCCGGCGCTCTCATTTTACAGCTGAGGAGCTCCCCGGCTCCACGCTGGGCCCGAAATGGGACCCCAGTCACTGCGGCCCCTTGGAGTTTGCGTAGGTAAGTGTGCAGAACAAATGCTGAAAAAGTCTTTAGAAAGTTAAAAGGGACTAGTTTGGCTTTTCCCTCTCCCTCGCCTCTCTCTCTTGCCCACCCGCCTCCCCCCCACCTGATCACCTACATTTCTTAGTGCATTTCACAGTGTGAGCTTCTGTGCTTGGGCGCCGTCACAGGAGAGTGTCTGTAATTGGAAGTGCATAGAGAGAAAAAAAAAAAAAAAACAGAGAGAAAAACGGTGTATGCATATAAAATTCTCGGTTGCTGTGTGCCAAAAAACGACTTTGTAAAATTTATGGTTTTCTAAAACTTCCGTCTCTTGGAAATTTGAAAGAGCAACATATGAAATCCAAATGAAATCCTTTTTATTTAGATGTCCAATAAAGTACCAAAATGACTGCCACAATGCCCCTCCCACACCTGTTTCTGCACAGTGTTGGCCACCGATACTAGTGATAGAAAGTCTTTTGATTTTCAAAGACTAAAATACAGTCAACAGTTGTTGGTCACACGTGTGAAACTCAAGGCCCGGGGGCTAAATACGATCCACCACTCTTTTTTATTTGGTCCTCTAGCCTCTAAAAATGCACATAAAAAGAAGAAAATGAAAGAGATCTGCGCTTAAATATTATTTAATCAAATCAAGTGGTTATAGAACAAAATGAAAATGAATTTGATGTCCCTATTGTAGATTATACAAAACATAAGTTCACATTTTATTAATACAAGCCATCTACTTTGAGTAGTCTGTCAAGGATGTAGCAATTAGCAAAACACCCCCAGCTGAGATGGAGACCCCGCCTCTCGCCCAATGACTGCTGGAGATGCACACCAGCCCCACCAAAAGCAGCTCACCATGAAGAAACACAGGGCAAACACCCACGCGCACACACACACACACACACACACACACACACACACGCACACACACACACACACACGCACACACACACACACCTACACACACACGCACACACACATGCACTCACACCTGAAGACAATTTAGAGAGACTATTAAAACAGTCATGCTTTTGAACTGTGGGAGAAAGCTGGAGTACCCAGAAAAAAGCCATGTTTGGATATGGAGAACATAC